CATCTCTCTCGCGGTTACACCGCCATTTCATCTCTCTCGCGGTTACACCGCCATTACATCTCTCTCGCGGTTACACCGCCATTTCATCTGTCTTGCGGTTATACCGCCATTACATCTCTTTCGCGGTTACACCGCCATTTCATCTCTCTCGCGGTTACACCGTCATTACATCTCAAAAACATTTCAAACACATTCCTTCTTTTATCCGGACTTGAAGTCCTGTCAATCTTGTCCGTATAACAAGTCCGGTCAAAACACTTTGAAAATAATTTAACATCTTTGTCCGGATTACAAATCCGGACAATACTTCACTTTCATTGATAACCGGTTTAAAGATATCCGGTCAATACACAGTAGAACACTTGAACGGTTTTAGAAGTAAACCGATCACCTCTTGGTCGGTTTAGATGAATGTCCGGTCACCTCTTGGCCGGTTTTGATGAATATCCGGTCAAGGCACAAGCGGTTTAATTTGTCCGGATTACAATCCGGACAACTCTTGAATGATTCAAACAAGAACTTCTCATAAAATGTAAAAAATTCATGAAAACCAGTATTTCAAATGCTTATCAAACTGTATGTAAGCAATTCATATCCAAAGCTCTTTATACACTTACCTTTTTGAAGTCAAATAACAAAGCTTTGAAATCCTCTTCGTGTGCAATCTTTCAAAACTCCAGAGAAACTTTCCAAATATGGTATATGTATGTATGTGTTTTTCTTTCAKAAAACTTCTATATATACATATTATTAAAAGAGGAGAGGATGGCGGCTCAATAAGCCGACCTCCCTCTTTTAAAATATCATACATATATATATATATATACAAACCTGAAATAATAACCAGAATATTACAATATTCCCTCATTAAAAGAATTTCGTCCTGGAATTTTACTTAAGCAAAAAGGTAGGGATATTTCATCCGTATTTCTGATTCTGATTCCCAGGTGGCTTCTTATCCTTTATGATAACGCCACTGAACTTTTACTAACCCAACCTCTTTGTTTCGTAACTTCTTTACCTTATAGTCAGTAATCTGCTCAGGGGTTTCTTCAAAACATAACTTTTCATCTACCTTAATCTCTGGTAATGGTACTGCCACATCTGGATTTATTAGACACTTCCTCAAATTTGACACATGAAACGTGTCATGAATTCCACTTAATTCCAAAGGAAATTCTAACTTATAAGCCACTTCCCCAATTTTCCCAATAATAGGAAATGGTCCAACACATCTTAGACTTAACTTTCCTCTCTTTCCAAAACGTATTATTCCTTTCCAAAGTGATACTTTCAACATTACTTTATCACCTATTTGGAATTCAATCGGCTTCCGACGTTTATCTGCATAACTTCTTTGTCTATCTTGGGCTACTTTCATTCGTTCTCGTATTACCCCAATTTTATCTGCAGTTTGTTGAACTAACTCAGGCCCAGGTAACTGTCTTTCACCTATTTCATTCCAGCACAAAGGAGTTCGACATTTTCGTCCATACAAAACCTCAAAAGGTGCTGCCTGAATACTTGAGTGGTAACTATTGTTGTATGCAAATTCAACCAAAGCCAAATGATTATTCCACGATCCTCCAAAATCAATAACACAGGATCTCAACATATTTTCTAATGTTTGGATAGTACGTTCACTATGTCCATCAGTTTGAGGATGATAAGTTGTACTTAGCTTAATTTGTGAACCCATTTCTCTCTGAAAACTCTTCCAAAACATAGAAGTGAAACTACTATCTCTATCAGAAATAATTGATAACAGAACACCATGTCGTGTTACCCTATTCATCATATCCATAAATGTTGCAGGCGCATTCGTGAGTCCAAATGGCATTACCAGAAACTCATAATGACCATAACGTGTACGGAATGCTGTTTTAGACACATCCTCATCTCGAATCTTCAATTGATGATAACCAGACCGCAAATCAATTTTTGAGAAATAAGTAGCCCCAACCAATTGATCAAACAAGTCATCAATTCTTGGGAGAGGATAYTTATTCTTGATTGTCAATTTATTCAACTCCCGATAATCAATGCACATTCTCATTGATCCATCCTTCTTCTTCACAAACGACACCGGTGCACCCCACGGAGAAGTACTTGGTCTGATAAAACCTTTATCTAACAGTTCTTTCAATTGAGACATTAATTCCTTTAACTCAGAAGGAGCTAATCGATATGGCGCACG